TTAGGAAATTACAAATGAAAACACTTGGTAACGCCAATGAGACGAGCAACGTTTACACGCTCGACTCGTAACAATTCACTTCGATTAAAGCTTATTAATGCCGTTAAATATACGATAAAAGGGGCTTCCCCACCTTAATGCATTTTCGTAAGGTGTACAGTACCTACCGACAAAAGATGCATTTGCTAGTGTTTGTTTACGCATTTCCGATTCTCGATAGCAGCGATAAAAAGTGGCGATTTTCTAATCGAAGTGTTGACACAAAGCAGCTAATCAGACGTCAATTATCTTGCTCGCCACGTGAAGATGACAAACTAGAGAAACGAAAACAGTCAAAGTGCTCCTCTATCAGCACCTCGGACGATCTTTGACCTTTTCTCTACGTAGAAGTCCAGTGTGTGTGTGTCTGTGTGTGCGGATACCTGTGCTGTGTAACCGATAAGAAAGTTATAAATATATCTAAAAACAAGTGTAAATTATCGTGTAAAAAGTCACGTCTCGAACGAACCGAAACAGCAGACCAGAGAGTCGAGAGACGATGTTAAAAATCAGGTCGTCTACCCTCACCCTCGCTTAATTAATGGAGAAAATTTCTTTTTCTATCATCGACACAAGCCATTCGTGATCGGAACGAGGACGTTTTGCACAAGCTGAGCTGTCAAAAGTTTGATGACAACGAGACAAGTCGCGTGATGAAGAAAATAACAGAGGAGTAACACGCGAGCTTTTTTTTTTTTTTTTTCTTTTTTCGTTCTTCACTCGTTAGGAATAACTGTTTGGGGCCATTTTTCCTCCCGTTTTGTTTCCAAACTACCGGACTTTTCTGAGAAACTGGAGATGGAATTTCGACCCCGTCCTCTGTTACGTGATCTGTCCGTGTTGTCCCACATGTATCAAACGAGCTTTCCATTGCTAATTAAATCAGTCAGACCGTTTCCTAATTAACATTCTAGGTGCACGCCACCCTCTCTTCTTGTCGGGGACTTTTTTTTTATATATATATATATGCATGTATGTAACCCCTCGTAAGTATTTATGTATGGTGGTCGAGAGACCAGGTGAAACGCCGAGGGGGCCACGTTCTCGTTCGTCCCTGACCTTCGACCTCTTCCCACAGTCATGGTCAGCGGGGATGAATGTTTCTTGGCAAGAAGGTGAAAGCAATGTCGTCGACAGAATCGTTCCAATTAACGTCCTGCAAAGTTGGCAGGACGATAAAATGGTTGCCATTGTACACGTCAGCGGGAACGAAAAGAAAAGTTTGTTGGATGGAGAAGCTAAACTAAAGTGAACAATAGAGTGAACGGTGAAAAGAGTTTAAAGGGTCTAAAAGGGAGTGTGAACGGAATGAATGAGAGAGAGGTGCCATGCTATAGTTTCCCGTTTCGCCAACCTTTATCGCCGAGCTATCTTGCCCGTTGGGGTCTCCTCTCCCAACAAAAACCGTGTGTGTGTGTGTGTGTGTCGACGTTAAGTCTGCTTTACCTCATTTATTCCGTAGAATCGACTACAAGAGGGATTATTCTCCATTTTGATAGATTATGCTAAATCGGAAACATTAGCGAGGCTCGAGTATGCGCGGCTTGACTCCTTTGCCGTTTTCTGCCTCTTTTGTATGACGTTGGTCCCTATCGAAAGAGCGAACAAAGGATATAAATAATTACGTAATCTACACACACGTGACAATCTTCACACTAGAGTGGTCGTGACGCGCTCTCCCCAATGACGTCATGCTCTACAAATGACCCGGGTGCCATTTCCAGCCCCGTCCGCGGCAGTTAAACATCCTCTTCCGAGTGAATAAAAGTCTTAAAGAAAGCACCCGAAAAAGCCATCGACGGTCACGGTCTACTTACCTTATTTTCGTGACGTAATCGTGAGAATGAGTTCCTCACAACATTAGCCTAATCAGGATTGGGTTAGACAATGGAAGGAAAGCGAATTCGCTTCTTTGTTTCGATCGGTAAGAAGGGGGATTCGAAGAAAAACGTAAAGAGATGAGCTTACACGTGGAAAATTTGCTCGTTCGTCCCTTTTGCTGGGTCGATCCACGTCCCTTATCTGAACGACAGGACCTCGTATCAACTTTCTGTACCCAAGATCAACACGGTTCAACACGCCTCGGGCCTGAAGCCGAATGGCAAAAGAAGAACAAGCAAACGGGGGGGGATGAGTGGAATGGGGAGGAAAAAGTTGACATTTTAAGCGAGGATTGAAAATAGAAGAATCGATTCAAAATTTTTACCGAAAGCAGGTTAAGTATTTTCGTGTTTTGATCAAGCTCATACGAGTGCAATGCACGAATCTATCGAAAACAGGTAGAGATCGGGAGAACCCCCTCATAAAAGATCGATAGGCGTATACAGTATTGTTTAAAATCTTATCCAATGGATTATAGTCAAACATACTGAAGTGGACGACCCAGTTTCATGGAATGAAACTGTTTCGTGGCACGACAGGTCTCGCGTGTTGAACCTATGAGACTTTACGTATCGAAAGCCTGTTTTACCTTTCGACTATACGACGATTTTACTGTCGTTTTATTATTCGTATTTTTCATTGAAAGGTGTTGTAGTTCGTTTTTCAAATATTTTGATGGCTGAAAAGCTACTAACATCCGAGCTGATAACAAGCTGAAAAGTACACAGCGATAAGCAATAAAAATCTTAACGGCCAAACACAAAATGAAATACCTCCGCACGATTTACACCATAATTAATTGCTCCTCTCTGGTTTTTTTTAATGAACTTAACTCGGAAGCGTTACCAAATTTCACGCGGAGGGGTCATTTTCTTCTTTTTTTTTTGAAGACTCGGTGGGGTTTCGACTATAGAAAACAGGGCAAAGAGATAGGAGGACGGGTCCAATCTAAGAATGTAAAATGGAGTGTTTTATCCGGCTTTAGATTCGCTCTTAGGTCACTTTCGGGCCCCTCTGTCAATGCTATAAATATTTCATATCGGTCGGAATGGGAGACCAGTCCAGATGGCGTCATCCCGAATCGAAGCGGAGGACAAGATATGAATGAGGTGTCACGTGATGGGGCAACGTCCCCCCCTCCCCACACGTTCAACGTTCGGGATTAAAACAACCGCGCCAAAAACTGGCCAAACAAAAATACATCGTACGACTAACAATTACGGGACAATTTAAACATCAAAAGAGGATTATCGGCTCGATTTTGAATTCGTTAATATTCATGAGAAGCGCGAAAGAGGAGGAAAGGGGAGGAAAAAAAAAAAAAAAGTCTGGTCCATTCGAGAAAGTCGAGCCGAGTCTCTCGCAATTCTCGGAGGGGGTGGTGGCTGTCCCATCGGGTTATTACGGAACACGAGCGATTGTAAGTCACAATACACTATTCAGATTCATTCTGACGTCTCTAATGCGACCCCCCCTCCTAATAAAAGTTAGGTCGGCCATTTTCTGTCGTGGCCGTAGACACGGTTTCCGAGAAACCTCTATTTGGTAATCGCTCTCCGCAACGACCGCCATCTTGTTTCTATTCTATACGTGCAACACGACTGTGTTTTAAGAATCAACCGTTTTATAAATTCGATCGAATTCCATCTCGAAACTATTTAAAACCGTAACGATAATAAGCTTAGACTTGCCACATAATGTTTTAATTAAGGAACTACTCTCCAACTTTTAGGCATTTCTGTTTACTTAAAGATCACGTTTCGTGCTGTAACTATCGGAAATCGGAGAGAACCCATTCTTCGTTCACACACCCCCTCCCCCCCACAGGACTCGGTACCACTCCTAATAAGGTCAACATGACTCGTTCCAGATATGGACGAAAACAAGAACCCAACATGGGGTAAGGGAGCAGCAGTCAGACTCTCCCTCTTACCCACACTCAGAACCCCTACTTGCTCACTTTCTTCGTGGTCTTTTACTGAAACCATTCGAAACTTATCTATTCTTTAGCGATGAATTTACTCGAAAGATTCCATAAACTATGAATTAACCGCAGTTTTTTTTCGTTTTAAGACGAAGAAACACCACGCAAATCCGTAGACGTCGAGCTTAGAAATTAATTAAACCGTTTATGTAATTCGTTGTTTACGGTGGTTTTAGTGGGTTCTAAAATAAAATCCATGCGATTTAAAACACAGAAGATTGTATTCTAGAGCTAAACGAAAAGATCTCGATTGAAGTTTCTGTTTCTAGATGGATATAAAACCCCCTCGTAAACACCCGGGGAAAGTTTTTAGGGTGTAAATTCGCCCCGATATGAGCGTAAGTGTTTTCTAATGGAGCCCAAAAACTCGTGTTAAGTAACGCATTTTGAAACGAGTGTTGATTATTTAACCCAAATCCCATTTATCGTTATTGACTTGAAGGCAATGTACTCAACAAGAGCAGAACATGGACGCAGTTTGTCTGGTCGGCATTGTTTCCTTAACACCGAGAGCTTTCAATGAAAATCCAGTACACAATGACGTCGTTGAGAGAAAATAACCGGCGTAATTCCGTTTTCGAGGAAAACCACTTATTGAATTATTTACCGTCGCTTCGTCTTCCCTACCTGCAGGCACACCCTTGGTTCCTCATCTGGTTTGCAAATGGCCAACCGACCGAGATTGGATTAAAAAAAAAAAAGAGCAGTGGGACGTGCACGAGCGTCACTACTTTTGAACCAATTTTCCCGTAGGTCGCAAGGGAAGAACGAAACAAAAGCTAACCAGAAAACACTCTTTAAAGTGTCGGAAGGGAAGGGGAGGGGGGAGAGAATCTTCTTAAAAAAATCGCGTTTAATAGGCATTTATTAAGAGAGAAAATTCGAAGTTTTTCCGCTCCGAAACTAAGACCCGTGTAAGGAACAGGATGTGACGTGGACGGTGTTTACACTCTCCCCAGCTGCACGGCGTTGACATATATACGTTGCAGCTGGCCCCACGATGTTCATTCTACGGGGGTTTCATATTCTGTGTTGGCTAACCCGGTGGCCTTTTTCTTTTTTTATTATTATTATTATTTTTATAACTTTGGCTTACCTGCTTCGCTGTTATTATCGGTGCTATGTTGAGAACTAGGTTGTTGAGGTATTGGGCCTGGAGTACCTGTCGATCCTGTGGGTGATCTGGCATCTTCGCCGCTCATGCTGTACGAATTGAGCGATTGAGAAGGCGGTCTCTGTTAAAGATAACGTTTACAATTACTAAAAACACCGTAAAGATTTGTAAAAATTCATCTTCTACTACTCTTAAACATAACTTTACGTCCATCCTGAAGATCCCTCGTATTGCAAGAGGTTTGAAATTCGATAATTTAAAGGGTTTCTTCTCTCTCGATAACGTCTACAAAAATTCGGTTAATATATAAAACGGAGGTTTATTTAACAGCAAAAACTTTCGAACGATTTAACACCTCCGCTTCACTTTTACCACGAATTTACATAAATGAATGTAAAAAGCGGACCACCCAATTACGTCATTAAAATCTTGGCCAGAAAAAAAAAAAAAGTGTGTGTATGAGAGAGAGAGAAACCATGAAAAATCGCTTTAAAAACATAATTAATAACCGTTCAGAGTTTAATCGATGGCATTAATTAATATGCAGATGAGGAAAAGAGGAAAAAAAATGTATATATATATATTTTTTTAAAACTCTTTTTGTTCCCTAAACAAAAATTAGTGAGGAGATGCTCTCCTAACCAATTAATCCCGTCGATGTTCCCCTTCCATCTTGTGTTTTTTTCCTCTTCTTCTGGTGGAGCTATTAATCGAAAAATATCATTATTCTTAGTTACGGTTCTAATTTGAACAATGAAATTCAATTTGGAGAAGCGGACAGAGAGGGAGAAAGGCCACAAATCATTTCTTGGCAGACGAAAAGGGCAGATGAATTTTGAACAGGCGTCGATATAATTTGCAAATCGGAATAAGTTTTCGATAACTATTATGCATTATTTACGAAGTAGAGAGAGAGAGAAAGAGAGAGAGAGAGAGTCAGCATCCGATCATCCCTCATAGCAGAGTCAATAGAAGAATCTTTATTTCCATTTTAAATCCGATTGTTTCCCCTTCTTCACTTGATTTTCCTGCTATTAATAATATTTTACATAATAACCGTCGGGGGTAAGAGAGGGAGGAGAAGAAGAGAATCGCTCTCCATAGCAACTCTACTGTATACAATCTGCACTTGTACTTTAACCTGGATTTTCCAAGCGACCGTTTAGAAATTTGCGTTGATGTCGAACATTATTTTATAGAATCGCGCGTCAAAGACAGAAATTTGGTTACAAATCAGGGCAAGCTGTCAAAACTGGCTTCCAATTTACATGAATTGAACCAAACCTTCCGAGTGTTGTAGAATGAGCGTGTTCGACTAACGTAAACACGGCCGCTTCTCGACTGATATACGAGCTCTCCTTTTGTTGGATTAACTATCAATATATCAAACTTTGTTAGTTTGCACGATTATAGATCGAAGGAAGGAGAAACGGCGTTTAGAAAGAGGCCTATGAATATTTGACTAGCATTTTACCTATGCCAGTCGACTGAGAGAGATGCGGCCATTTTATATATATTATTTAGAGAAAACAAGCTTCTCTTGTCAAAGTGTCACTTCGTATGAAGTTCTAGGTGTGTGCCTTTTAGGTTAATGGCGAGTTTATTAACGTTTTATAAGAAGTATTTCTCTTCTAAAATTTGAATTATTCCTCTTCCTACCCGTCAACTTTTTTTTTTTTTTTTTCTCCTGTGTGTGAAAGCCTCTTCTGACTCTTCCAACAGATAAACATTTTGCTTTCGTTTCAAACTCTTATATTCGAACTTTAAGACAATTTCTTTAATATTTACAAGTTCTATACTATAAAAATAAATCTTTCTCGTGAAAATAAACAGTGTTTGGTGATTGTTCTTTTCGTAAAATCTTCAGCAAAATGACTTTCAGAAGTTCAACTGAAGCGGCACAAAGTTCTTTTATAGAAATTACCAGTCGACCCCCCTATAACACTGTTGATTATTCCGTTTTATATGAATTCCACGTTGTACGAGTCACTTAGATTTTACAAATACGTGAACCGTTCATAGCCCGGTACACGTATTTGTAAAATTTAAGTGACTCGTACAACGTGAAATTCGTATAAAACGGAATAATCAACAGTGTTATAGGAGGGTCGAGTTGTACTCTGAAAAGTTCTGTAGAACTTTTAATTATATTTTACTTTATTTTAACCTATCTAAGAACTTTAAAGTGCTTTATTCCCCCCCTTCCCAAACGTTCGCAAGTTATTAAAAGTGCAAAATATTTTTAGCACAATAAACTTATCTGAGAGAGACGTTGTCTGTGCAAAATTCTTAACAAAAGACTCCAGTCAAGAGTCAGAGTAACAACAACGTGATTCTGGCTGTTGGAAGGGGAGGGGGAAAAAATTATTATACTACTACATAGGAAAAACCGTTTGTAGAAAAGAGGTCTATGAATCTGTGTGGTTCCCTTCTATTTATAAATGTACCGATCACGTGATTCGAAGGCCGACTTTGATGTAAAGAAAACCAAAATGATGGATCTCGAGCTAGAAATGTTGTGTTGAAAACCATTACATCATCGAATTTGTCATTTTTCTTAAAAGAACATTCCAAGTCGTTCCATCAGAAAGAAAAAAGGAAGAGAAGGGAGGAAAGAAAAAGAAAAAGAAAAAAAAAATGGCCGTACACTTAAAAACTTTTAAAAGATCCAGACAAAGTTTGGGCGGAGTGAAGACGCTTTTTCGTCGGCGAACTTTGACCCCGAAGAAGAAGAAAACAAGCATCCGAATTGATCAATAGTTAAACAGGAACCGAGACGTAGCTTAAAGGTGAGGGGGGGGATAGAGGAGATTTTTCTACTCCACTCTAATTGTTAGTGCAACGATAAACGACGGCGTTATTTTTCATCATTCTCGCCAATGACAAGTGGGTAAGAATCGTCCACGTGATTATTCGCTGGCGCAGTCATAAAGTGCAGCTAGTGATGCGGACTGAATATAGGCTATAGAAAAGTCGTTACATATAATTTACAACTGGTGCCGTCAACAGTGGCGTACAGACACAAGCGAATATTTTAGTGCAGCAGATGGAATACCCGTCTGCTGATTGTCGTCTAGCTCATCCGCAACTTCTTGCCAGAGTCCGTAAATCATCACAAGTCGAACGACATCGTAAAAACACGGGACAAAACTTTCTGTGGTCTGCTCAATGTACGGACCATAATTTAATATAAGCGAACGTTTTGCCTCCGTGGTGGTGCTTCCAAGACTTTGCAACGAGCGTTTTAATTCGATTTTTTCACGAATTTTTTCTTTTTTTTTTTTTTTTTACCATCGTAAACTTTCCTGGATAACTTTATTTAAATAGATACGAAAGTGTGGTCCAATAGGCCTCTGCGATTCTTTAAAAAGTGATAGTAAACTGTCGGTAGCTTCAAACGGCACCGTGAATCCATGGCTGAATTTTCAGTTTTCCACAATAATCCGTTCGTAATTTATTGCCATTTACAAACGGGATCTCTTAGTAGACACCAGGAACCAAAAATTATAGACTGGAAGATTGGGTACGAGTCACACTCTAATGTCTTCTTATGATGAAAATTTCGAAGATGGAGACGAAGATGAAGATTCTTTTGCGAATTTTACCACAGAGATTTTAGTGGAGGGCACTCCAATTTTCGGAGGATTCGTTAAATTTGCCATTCTTTAGAGCTACCGGCTTTCAATTTTATCTTCTTATTGCCGTTTACATCAATAAAAGAAGATCCAAATTCAATTTCCAACGAGAGGATGATGGTTTGGTTTATTTTTCCTGTGGTCAAAGATTATGAATTGGAAGATTATAGAATGTAGCAATTCTAATGAATTCCTCTCTAAATTTTAAAAAAAAAAGAAAGCAAGATAAAAATTTGCTTGGGAATTCTCTTAAAATTCTTTTTTAACAAGAACCACTCCGATTTTTTTTTCTTTCCGGAATGTGAAAGGTTCGTTAAATTCGCCAATTCTGAAGGATTACCATTCTTTTAAACACGTTACAGTTCAAATTCGATTTTCTAGAAGAATAATTCTCGTTTATTTGACTTAACAGATGAAAGGTGAACTGTAACTACGAACTTTGAAGGTCGGAATGACTGGTTAAATAATTCTTTAAGAACGTTTTTTGGGCACTCCTGAAGCTTCTTCGTTTGGTTAATCACATTCAGAATCTTGCCATAATCTATCTGAAAGATAATCCCCTTTAAATTTTAATATAACACCGAAAAAAAGAAGCTGGAAGTTTTTGATTCTCGAAGAGGGAATTCCTAATTTGGTAGTTCCCAGCTAAAGATGATGATGGACTTCGAAGATTGGGCAGAGACGACAATTTTAATGAACTGTAGCTAAAAATTTTGAAGAGCGGTATGAAAAATTCGTTGTGAATTCTCTGCAGATTCTTTTTTGACACGAGTTTTGCCCCGAAATGGCTCTTGCCACTTTCGTCGGCTAATAAGAAGTGAACTTCATTAAGAGAACAAAGAGGCGGTGGGAGAATACCCTTAAAGCTACAACTAAGAGTCTTTGCCGCATTGTGCACCAGCATATGCTAATTTGCAACTTGTAAAGGTCCAAATGAGCTCTATTAAGCAGTCACCACAAGAAATAATTACAGGATGTTCCGCAAAAAGCAACACGGGCCGCGAGAGGCCATTTGGCGCGACAAACGAGCGAATTATCCAATCATAATAACGATAAAACTGCAATAAGCGGTGTTTTTTTCTCTCTCTCTCTCTCTCTTTCTCCCTCCTCTTTTCTTTTCGACTTGTTCAGTTTGGCGCAATGGTCCCGATGGCAAAAACCCAGCCAATTCCAGCTACAAATTAACCATAGCTTCGATTCGTGCAGCGATTTATTGCATGGCACCGCAGAAGCTCATTTCGCCGCGTCGAGTCTGAATCTGCTGCCATTCGATCAGATGGCTATCGAGGCCCAGTAACGGCTCCGGGTCGAGATGGCGTCATTAGAAAAAAAAAAAAAAATAGGGCGGACCTTCATTCGTTTACCTCTAAATGGTAGAGCGGAGCGACTTTAGCTCTCCGTCAATTTTCCGCAGGGAAGAAGAGAAGAAAAAAAAAAAAATCAATGGGCTGCTGCACTTTATTAGATTTGGGGAGAAAAGAAAGCTTGGCTTGTTTGAATACTGCGATTGACATCAGTTTGGCTCATGCACAATTCAATTTGTGTGGCCGCCATTTCTATTCCATCAGCTTTCATCCATCTAGGACGGAAGCCGTCCGGCTAATGGTATCTCGTGATTAAACCTCGCGGCTCCCTTCCCCCCACTCTGTCGTGGCACATTTCGTGAAGGGCTCGTGACATACCCGACGACTCCATACAAGAGTTATCCGAGAAGTCCAGCTAGCCTTGTCAATCTTGAGGCCCTGCTCCCAGTTATGTAGCAAATATGCGGACAGTATGTGACTACACAGGATGTGTGCCATCCAGAGAGAGAATTCCGCCACACGACAGCAAAAGTTTTCACAAAGAGAGAGATGGACAGCCTCCAACGAGATCCCCCTTTACGATAGTCTTCACCTGGTTGGGAAACTTTTGCCACTATCTCGAGGAACCATCGAAGAGTTTCCACTCTCTCGTTATTAAATCTGTAGTTGGATCGTTTTCGGTAATTCTAAACTTTGCAGGAAAGAATTTAAGAGTAAATTAAGGGTAACAAGTCGTTAATAGTATCGAAATATCTTCGTAAACTTGTAGTAAAAAAGGATAATGTAGAACCTCTCCCGAAAGGGTAAAGATTAACGGATCGCCTTTCTCAAACTCGATTAACCGTTTCTTAATTTTAATTACTCCTGAGGAACGGGTTACTCTTTCATTCTTTAATCCGTTAAAGTAGATTATAGAAGGGAGTAATTCGTAAGTGGGCTTACGAAGGATTAATTACTAGTGTGGTAACACTTCTTTGTCGAGAGAATTTCGGTGTCAGTGGACGACGCCATTGCAGCTTCGGGACCAATCACGGTCTGGTTAAAGTTTGATAAACTTCCAGGAAATGAGCGATTATCTGCAAGGTTATTATTATTTCGTTGTCTGCTTTGACAGATATATAGAATGGAACGACGGAGATGATGTGACTTTTTTCGTTCAGACAATAGTACTTGTTGCTAGATACATATATGGACTGTACACATTACATAATTTTTTCTGTTCGCCTTAAGCAGATTAATTAGAAACTTTGGATATTAAAATTGCTGTTGTTAATGCAATTATAAAGTAATTATAACTTGATATGTGTATAGAAAAGACACTGCTTCGATTTTTGTGTGAGAGCGTGTGTGGTGTAACATCTTTGGTTTAAGGGGGGAAAAACGAAGGAAACAATAGAGCCAAGAAATCAAAAGTATCAGGAGAAAGTAAAAAAGAAAGAGGAGAAATAGAGGGGGATAAAAAAAAAGAAAATCGGACAGTGAAATATAAGGGGAATGTCCCAATTCAGCGTTGCTATCTTCAAACAGCATCACAACGGTTCGGTAATGTAGTTCGTCCTTATCGGAAATAGAAACGCGCTATCGGTCCTCTGACGCACAGCAACCTCCCATGACAGCTGTGAAGAACAAATGGAGCTTAGTTAATGTGCTTATTTAACAGAGGCACTGCCGAGTTCCGTGCGTTATCGGACAGCGATAAAATCCCGCCAGTTGTGCCAGGTCGGGTGTTGATAGTCCGACATCAGCTACAAGGTCGGTTGACTCCACCTCTGCTGGCCCCTCCTCTTTCGCTCCCTTCGTCACGTGACCTGCAGGGTCAAAGGTCACGCGAGTGGCGTTTTTTCGAGGCGGAGATTAGTGACGTCGTAGCGACACCTCATTCGCTCGGAAACATCGGCGATTCGGTGGCGAAGCAGAGCTTTTAATATCCTTCGATTATAACCAAACATGGCGCTGGCACCCCGACGCCATGCGGGCCGCGAAAACGATAGAGAACTGGTTCCTAGAAGTTTTTTTTCGAGTGAAAGAAAGAACGGCAAAGGAGCAGAGATTGCCAACTCGATCCATGTAAATCCACAGATACAAGAGGACATCTTTCGGGCTGCCAGGAAGGCTTATCTGTCATTTCTACCCAAAGTGCAGTCGGACATGCGGGTAGATACTCCTCACTTATAAATTATGGATGGTCGTGGAGGGTGTAGCGAAAATCTTTTAAGCTGCGGCGGTGGCGAAACCGTGTGAGATAAAAGAAGAAAGGAAAGAAAGGAAAATAAAAAAATGGGACGATACTCGAACGGCAATAGCCAGAAAGTGGAGTTTTCGCTCGTTTCCACTTTTAACAGTCTTTGCCAGTGATTCCGAGCAAACAAGCAGTTTGTTCTTTTATTCCAAGCTCGATGCAACGAGCCGATAACTGAACAGTCAAGATACAGACCGGAGGAGAAGGGAAAATGTGTGAGAAAGCGCCGTACTCCATTAACTGGTAGTGCTCCTCTTGGCTGCACCTGGTTGTGTACTCTGATAAAATCTCGTCAGTCTCCTATTTCTGTGCCCTTTCTTTTTCCACGTCAAAACCTATGGAACTAGGTCCATTTTACTAATGACGCTCACCTATTGCTCGAGTTTCGACGCCAACTTGGTCTGATAGAATTATGCAAATTCCCTCTTCCTTCTCTTGTACTAAAATTCACCGCAGCGGTTCCGTCACTGCACAACGCGCATTCCCACCTTATATATTCTTAGGTCAGAACAATATCGATTGAATTGCTAAGTGGTCTGAAAAGGAAACAGTTTCTGACCATTCGCTTAGAATTTCTGCCTAGAAAAACGAGTTGCTCTGATTTCTCCCCTGTCCATTTACACGATAAGTATGCGCGCCCGTTTTTACTTTCTTTCTGATAAATCATTTTTTTATGGAACTGCGCTCACTTTTATTCTTCTTCCAGTAAGAAAACACACAAATGCACGCATCCATTTTATTTAGGAAAATATATCTATACTATAAACAAACATAGAAACGGTCCATTTTTATCACTTTACAATAACCGTAATGGGGGGATGAGCTTAGAAAAAGCTGGATACTTTAAAAAAATGAAAGAGTACCGAGTACTGAAAACACCGTATTCTTTATTTACAAAGTCTTTTCTGACCGTTAACTGTAGCCATATTTTTATCTTTATACTGTCCAATTAATTATAAGCGTAGGTGACTAAGGCTTGGTTCTAACGCCACTTTTATCAATCGTAGGGGGGTTTGGCATGTAAATTTTTCTCGGAACAAAATCGATGAATCGATTTGCACCAACTTCTTTACGAACTTAAACGATTTAGCAAGAAGAAAAAACAAGAGTAATGCAGATTGAAGGAAGTCCACTTATTAAAAAAATTGATTTTTAATTGGATAATAAAAATAATACTGGCCTATTACTACAGTAATAACAACCATCGAGAAAATTTCATTAGGATCTGGCAAAATTGAATTGAATCTTTGGCCATTTAATGTTTTAAGAGGGGGGAGGGAGAAGGCGATTTGTAGCCTATACAAGAGCGAGGAAAACTTGTTCAAAAAATCGTTTTCCTCTTTGTTATTATTATTAAAGTTGTATGCAGTCGACTACCGTTTCGCCGTAAGTCTGAGGATCAAGGGCACGTTTGGTTATTTAGATAATAAAATGGTCCGACTTTCGATCGGTAAACATAAATTGGTAGAGCAACACCGGGTTACGGTTTGCAATCAATAAATCTACTTGACAGATCGTTAGGATGGAGTAAAATTGCAAGTGGAACCTTGGCTCCGGAGATGGGGAACCCGAGACCCGTACCGTTTTCCATCCAAAACTGATTAATGGCTCTCTATAACCCACGTTACGGATCGGTCTCAAAATGGCTCGCCATCTTATTATAACAGTCTGCCGAAGAAATATCACCTACCTGGTCAGGTGTGGACGAACTGTCTGAACTATTGTGTCCCATTGTGTCGGGATTTCCCCTGCCTCCACCTCCTCCACCATTGCTTCCAATGTTGCCACTCCCACCGTTACTATTGTTATTGTTATCACCCAGATCGCCGGGTTTACTGTCCCTTTCGTCGATGACCAGGTCAATTGGCATCTTACCCTTTAGGCAGCTGATGTACCTTTGACAGAAATTATCGCACAATTCGTGTACCTGAAATCAACATAAAGATATAACACCAAAGAAACAAATTCAATTCAAACGACAACACTATTTACATGCAATTCACCTTTCTCCCCTTCTAGACGACTTAATGTAAACAAACTATACTCGGCCCACCCAGAAAGGCCATTTTTCTCAGCGTTAATACACTCCACTGTACTAGTTACTAGTTTAAATTTAGTGTATTGTGGGACTAAAAACTACTCTACCCTAGGCCTGAAGATTTAAAGAGCGGCCTAGAGATACGGGAAAACTTATTAAAGCGGGATAACGAGAAGCAATAAAACTCCAAATGGCAATATTAACCAAACGATTGACATTGTCGCGTTATTTGGTTTCTCCATAAATAATAACGACACTACGTCGATACTCGTACCCTTCGTCAACCTGCTAGACATTAACTTCCGAGGCCTTCAGGCCAGAATAATTAAGCATAATTAACTAAATATGGTCGATTCCGCTTTAGGAATTTCGGGAATTTTTATTTAAGATTGAATAGCGTGGGACTCTTTCGTTTTGCTAATTACGGTAACCCCCCCCCTTTTTTTTAAATTTTTAATTAATTGCCTGATGTTTCGCATAGTTCTTGAATTTGATGTTAGTGCCGGGGGATCTTGAGCGAAGATAAGCTTGAGAAGACGTAAAAATCAGGCCTCTAGCCTTAAAAAAAATATATATATATATATATCCGCGACTTGTTAAATATGCAAAAGACATGGAGGGGGGTTGAGTGACCGATGGTGGAAAGCTATCCTGCTGTAATAATACGTAAAAATATCGCGTTTCAGGTATCCAGGTCACTAAAAATAGGGGAAAGGTTTAAAATAACTTTAAAAATGCAAGATTGACTGGAGAAAAAAAGGAAAAAAAAAAAGATTTTTAGCCTGATTCCTATTAAAACGGACAGGGTGTTCGGAGGAGGGGGTTACCATTCGATTTTGCTGCTAAACTTGCCTGAAAAAAACAATTTCTTCTTTAAAGGGCCTGAATTTATCGATTGAGATAAAGTGCCAAAACTTAACCCACGAATTTCAGTCCTATCGGCTAACGATACACCTTTTTATTTATAGGGCATTCCTGAGGAGGAGATGAACCCAATTTAGGGCAATGCAGAATCCGAGCTAAACTTAGGCCTATGGGAGAGATAGCGAGGCGAGTCCTCACTCACGTGGGATTACTTAAAAACGATAGAAGAGTAAATTTCGAGAACCATTGACACGGGATCGTGACAAAATTAGGTATTTTTGACAGGTTAAAAATTGCCAAAGATAATGTTGCGAGGAAGAAGTAAAAAAAAAAAAGAAGAAAAATACAAGCGAGAAGGAAAGAAAGAAGAAGAAATTCCGATGTTTGGAATTCAAAAATCGAAGTTGAGAATTTAAAAAATATGCAAAACAGAATTCCTATTTGGCAAATCTTGTGAATTTCTAGAGGCACATTTTTTAAACAATGTGTGGAAGATAAGATCAGGAAATGTTCGAGGGTGAGGCAAGGCGTGGAGGAATGTGACTAATATGCCAGTAGGAAATTTTGAGAAGAAGAAGAAGAAGGAGAAAAAAAAAAGGAGCAGCAATAAACACTAAATGAAGTGATAATCCTCTAACGTTAATAATTATTATGGGAATTAGAAATCGAATCGAAATCGAATCGAAAGGAGAAGCGACTCGTACACAATTGCAACAAACTATAAAAATAATTTAGTGATACAGTTTGTTGCTTCACACCCACCTTGAAAGTTTCAAGAGTGAAAGTGCATTTTGCACCCATCAATAATGCGTTAAGGCAAGTGAGTGAGTGAGTGAACAATCCGACACTTCCATTCTGCGGATTAATTATTTCTTACCATCTTCCCCACTCGTTGAAACCTTACTCTTAGAGGTGAACACAAACTATAAAAGTTAGAAAATCTGAAGAAAGAGTTAATTTCTTTTTTAAAAAAATATAAGAAAGGAGGTCGATCCGCGGTCACAAAAATCGCTTTGCGAATCGTTTTTCGACCTCTTTTACTCTCTCGTTTATTGTTAGTGGCAGTAGATAAAACGCTATTTAGTCTCGCTGCTCGTACAAAGTGATAAAATTATCTCATTTTTATTATGGTTGTAATCATTGTATCCTCGGAGATAGCGTGAAAATGAAATGTTTATTTATGCGCAGCTCGACAATAAAAGCCAGAAAGNTCAGAGTTTAATCGATGGCATTAATTAATATGCAGATGAGGAAAAGAGGAAAAAAAATGTATTATATATATATATATATTTTTTTTTAAACTCTTTTTGTTCCCTAAACAAAAATTAGTGAGGAGATGCTCTCCTAACCAATTAATCCCGTCTATGTTCCCCCTTCCATCTTGTGTTTTTTTCCTCTTCTTCTGGTGGAGCTATTAATCGAAAAATATCATTATTCTTAGTTACGGTTCTAATTTGAACAATGAAATTCAATTTGGAGAAGCGGACAGAGAGGGAGAAAGGCCACAAATCATTTCTTGGCAGACGAAAAGGGCAGATGAATTTTGAACAGGCGTCGATATAATTTGCAAATCGGAATAAGTTTTCGATAACTATTATGCATTATTTACGAAGCAGAGAGAGAGAGAGAAAGAGAGAGAGAGAGAGAGAGAGTCAGCATCCGATCATCCCTCATAGCAGAGTCAATAGAAGAATCTTTATTTCCATTTTAAATCCGATTGTTTCATTGTAAGTCACAATACACTATTCAGATTCATTCTGACGTCTCTAATGCGACCCCCCCTCCTAATAAAAGTTAGGTCGGTCATTTTCTGTCGTGGCCGTAGACACGGTTTCCGAGAAACCTCTATTTGGTAATCGCTCTCCGCAACGACCGCCATCTTGTNAGAGAGAGAGAGAGAGTCAGCATCCGATCATCCCTCATAGCAGAGTCAATAGAAGAATCTTTATTTCCATTTTAAATCCGATTGTTTCCCCTTCTTCACTTGATTTTCCTGCTATTAATAATATTTTACATAATAACCGTCGGGGGTAAGAGAGGGAGGAGAAGAAGAGAATCGCTCTCCATAGCAACTCTACTGTATACAATCTGCACTTGTACTTTAACCTGGATTTTCCAAGCGACCGTTTAGAAATTTGCGTTGATGTCGAACATTATTTTATAGAATCGCGCGTCAAAGACAGAAATTTGGTTACAAATCAGGGCAAGCTGTCAAAACTGGCTTCCAATTTACATGAATTGAACCAAACCTTCCGAGTGTTGTAGAATGAGCGTGTTCGACTAACGTAAACACGGCCGCTTCTCGACTGATATACGAGCTCTCCTTTTGTTGGATTAACTATCAATATATCAAACTTTGTTAGTTTGCACGATTATAGATCGAAGGAAGGAGAAACGGCGTTTCGAAAGAGGCCTATGAATATTTGACTAGCATTTTACCTATGCCAGTCGACTGAGAGAGATGCGGCCATTTTATATATATTATTTAGAGAAAACAAGCTTCTCTTGTCAAAGTGTCACTTCGTATGAAGTTCTAGGTGTGTGCCTTTTAGGTTAATGGCGAGTTTATTAACGTTTTATAAGAAGTATTTCTCTTCTAAAATTTGAATTATTCCTCTTCCTACCCGTCAACTTTTTTTTTTTTTTTTCTCCTGTGTGTGAAAGCCTCTTCTGACTCTTCCAACAGATAAACATTTTGCTTTCGTTTCAAACTCTTATATTCGAACTTTAAGACAATTTCTTTAATATTTACAAGTTCTATACTATAAAAATAAATCTTTCTCGTGAAAATAAACAGTGTTTGGTGATTGTTCTTTTCGTAAAATCTTCAGCAAAATGACTTTCAGAAGTTCAACTGAAGCGGCACAAAGTTCTTTTATAGAAATTACCAGTCGACCCCCCTATAACACTGTTGATTATTCCGTTTTATATGAATTCCACGTTGTACGAGTCACTTAGATTTTACAAATACGTGAACCGTTCATAGCCCGGTACACGTATTTGTAAAATTTAAGTGACTCGTACAACGTGAAATTCGTATAAAACGGAATAATCAACAGTGTTATAGGAGGGTCGAGTTGTACTCTGAAAAGTTCTGTAGAACTTTTAATTATATTTTACTTTATTTTAACCTATCTAAGAACTTTAAAGTGCTTTATTCCCCCCCTTCCCAAACGTTCGCAAGTTATTAAAAGTGCAAAATATTTTTAGCACAATAAACTTATCTGAGAGAGACGTTGTCTGTGCAAAATTCTTAACAAAAGACTCCAGTCAAGAGTCAGAGTAACAACAACGTGATTCTGGCTGTTGGAAGGGGAGGGGGAAAAAATTATTATACTACTACATAGGAAAAACCGTTTGTAGAAAAGAGGTCTATGAATCTGTGTGGTTCCCTTCTATTTATAAATGTACCGATCACGTGATTCGAAGGCCGACTTTGATGTAAAGAAAACCAAAATGATGGATCTCGAGCTAGAAATGTTGTGTTGAAAACCATTACATCATCGAATTTGTCATTTTTCTTAAAAGAACATTCCAAGTCGTTCCATCAGAAAGAAAAAAGGAAGAGAAGGGAGGAAAGAAAAAGAAAAAGAAAAAAAAAAAATGGCCGTACACTTAAAAACTTTTAAAAGATCCAGACAAAGTTTGGGCGGAGTGAAGACGCTTTTTCGTCGGCGAACTTTGACCCCGAAGAAGAAGAAAACAAGCATCCGAATTGATCAATAGTTAAACAGGAACCGAGACGTAGCTTAAAGGTGAGGGGGGGGATAGAGGAGATTTTTCTACTCCACTCTAATTGTTAGTGCAACGATAAACGACGGCGTTATTTTTCATCATTCTCGCCAATGACAAGTGGGTAAGAATC